AAAAAAAAAAAAAACAAAAGAAAGATAAACAATCCAATCACAAAATGGGCAAAGAATCTAAATAGACACTTTTCAAAAGAGGACATTCAAAAAGCCAAGAGACATGAAAACATGCTCAAAGTTACTAATCATCTGAGAGATGCAAATCAAAACAACAATGAGGTACCACCTCACACCTATCAGAATGGCTATCATCAACAAATCAACAAATGACAAGTGCTATAGAGGATGCAGAGAAAAAGGAACCCTCCTTCACTGCTGGTGGGAATGCAGACTGGTGCAGCCATTGTGGAAAACAGCATGGTGTTTTCTCAAAAATTTAAAAATGGAACTGCCATTTGACCCAGTTAATACCACTTCTAGGAATATATCCAAGAAAACAGAAACATCAACCAGAAAGGATATATGCACCCCTATGTTCATAGCAGCATAATTTACAATAGCTAAGATTTGGAAACAGCCTAAATGCCCATCAGCAGATGAGTGGATTAGAAAACTATGGTACATCTACACAATGGAATACTACACTGCTATAAAAAAAGAAGGAATTCTTACCATTTAGGCAGAGAAGCATCGAACAGACTGTCAAAGTACAGCGGGAAGACTGGGGTGGGGGGGGGGGCGGGTAAGAGTTCAACTGAAGGACTTGTATGCATGCATATAAGCATAACCAATGGACACAAGACACTGTGGGGGTGGGGTGAGGGCATGTGCCAGAGTGTGGGGAGGCCGGGGGAAGGTCAATGGGGAAAAAAAAAAGAGACATATGTGCTACTATTTGTAATACTTTAAACAATAAAATTAAATTTAAATTTAAAAAAAGAAAGAAAAAAGGATGCAAAATAAAAATTTTTTAAAAAAAGAAAAAATTCAAAAATACAATTATTTCCCTTCTTTCATCCATCCAATATTTTCTTTTGTGGTTCTTACGACTTACCATGCCCTCAAAGCCAACTCTGTAAAGGTTCTTAGCACCATTATCCCAGAGAACATATGCTGCGCTATGTGGGCTTGATGCACTCCAGTCTTGGATTTCTGTTACCTATAAGAGAATTTTTTGAGAAAATTATTTTTTAAAGGGAGATAGAAGAGGTTGGTTCTTTTAATTATATTTAAATCTTAAAAATTATGTTATTCTGTATAACAAGATATGAATAATACTTAATTGCCAAATATATGTCACTTCTAACACATAATTGAATTATAATGAGGTATTTTTCCAGAATTATAAGGTAATTTCTAAAACCACTACAGAAATTTTAAATTGAAAGGCTTAGTGATTATAATAGATTTTCAGAAAATACAAAATTTTAAATCTTTACTCTTAAAGGTTCATTTTAAGAAGAGTGTTTTCTTTTAAACTCACTATTTAATACAAAATTCAAAATCTTTGACCAAATATACAGAATGATTCAAGATTAATCTGCTCTTTGGTCAGCTAAAATATGATAAGCATGAGGCTCGATGGCAATGTTCAAGGAGACTTGAGTGATTTTGTTTCCTAGAAGTTCCTTCAGTTGCCTCAAAAAGCAGGCCATCTAACCTAAAACATCATGTGTATCTACCATGGAAATCCAGACACAATCTCAAGGCCCCACATGGCCTTACGTTTAATAATAATAAACTTATTATTTTAAAAATTTACTGGGTTACTACAGCTTAAGGGCCAAGAATCAACTACACAAAAATGATACACAATGAGCACTAAATGTGGGTATTCTCAAGTAAACCAGTCTACAGCTAAGAATGGGAAATAGTACATGTTCACTTATTACTTTTCTCCATGTTGACGCTTACAATTAGCCATCCTTCATAGTTACTTAGAATGCTAGCATGTTTAAGGAATTACCTGAAAAACAGATTATTTCAAATATGACATATAATGACCCTTTCATTTTTACACTGTACTAAATAAATCATTTTGTAAGCTATGTATTTTATGGTGCTGTTGTAGAGAAAAAAATTTTAAAGTCTGTGTCATCTGAAGAAATCACAGGAACTGAAAAGCCTCTTTTGTATACATTGGTGCCAAATGGATTTTTTCAAGTTAATTTCTGTCACTATGGTGTGAGAGAAAAACATTGATGGGTTGCCTCTCGCATGTGCCCTGACTGGGGATCAAACCCACAACCTAGGTATGTGCCCTGATCAGGAATCGAACCCACAACACTTTGGTGTACAGGATGACGCTCCAATCAACTGAGCCATCCGGTCAGGGCAAGTGTAGTTTTTATTGTCTGACTTTTTTTTACTTGATTCCTTCCACAACCACACAGAGACTGGTAGAAGGGAAAAAAAGACTGTTAGGAGGGGTGGAGATGTGGAAGGGGGTGGTCCCACACCCATGTGTGTCAGATAAAAATCAGAAGGAATATCTGGGCTGCAGCCCCACACCAGGCCACACAGCCCAGGGTTCCAAACCATGAAGAGAAGTCTTCATAATCTCTGGCTGTAAATCCAACAGGGATTGTGGCTGAGTGAGACAGACAGCAGCTTAAGTCCCAAGTGTTCCTCTTGAAGGGGCCCACAGGAGAACAGATTTACTTGCTCTGAGCTACAGTGCTGGGAGAGCAGCTCAAATGGCGCAGGAACATATGAGGAGGAACTAATTGCCTGGCATTTGGACAAGAGCTGAAGGAACAACTTTTTTCCAGATAGAAATGCTGGCAGAGGTCATTGTCCCTTTTCTGAGCCCTCCTCCCAAAGAGCTGGCAGACAATGCCATATCTGAGTCTTCATCAACGTGGCTAACACTGTTAAACCCACCCTGGTTATTCCCTGAGACCTTGCCCCACCCAACTGCAGCCCATCTATGCATATCCAGTGGCTTTTCCATACAAATGGCCTCTCTTGGCTCATGCTTCAGACTTTTCTAAAATCTCTCAAATAAGTGCATCTGGCCTTGATATGTGTCATACCTCTCACTTAGTGGCCCAGGCCTGACAATAGTGGCAGCCAGCCTTGGTTCACAGGCTGGCCTCTCCTGGGCACCTCCAATCCAGCGTAAATAGCAGCCATCTTCAGATTGCTTTGTAGCTCATGCCAGGTGGCCCCAAACTTGGCCAGCTCCTCCCTGGAGGCCCCAGAGTCAGCACACTTGGTGGACAGCTTCAGAACACATCAAAGCACCACCCAACTGCCTTCATGAGCAACACACTCAAGGAACAGGCTCAGAAGGCATCAGAGCCCAGCTGAAGTAAGTCCTGTTCCATGGTGTCAGAGCCTGCACAGCTGATCCTCCATGGTGGTGGTAGCCAGTCCTCGCAGCTGACTGATCTGGAGGTAAATTCCTCCCACTGAGGTGCCAATAGCAATCAATGCTCAACTACAACAAGAATATGTACACTGCCCACTCTGGGGAGCTGGGAAGCTCTCCTGGAGTGACCGGCTCAGGTGATCGGGGAAGCTGTGCCACTGGACCCTGTAGGACACTATTAATTAATGCCACCATACAAAGTCCAGGAAACGTAGCAGCTCTACCTAATACATAGAAACAAATAGAGGAAGGCTGCCAAAATGGGGGGACAAAAAAATATATATATCCAAATGAAAGAACAGAAAAAAATCCCAGAAAAATAAATAAATGAAATGAAAACAAGCAATCTACCAGATGCAAAGTTCAAAACACTGGTTATAAAGATGTTCAATAAACTTAGGGAAAGAGAAGATGAACTTAGTGAGAACTTCAACAAAGATAAGAAACATAAAAACGGAACTAGAAAACATAAAGAAACAGTAAGAAATGAAGACCTAAGTGTAATGAAGAATACATTACAGGGAATCAACAGTGATAATGACAGAAAACTTCCCTAATCTGGTAAAGGAAATAGACATACAAGTCCAAGAAGCACAGAGTGTTTCAAACAAGATGAACCCAAAGAGGACCACACCAAGGCACATCATAATTAAAATGCCAAAAATCAAAGAAAAAGACAGAATCTGAAAAACAGCAAGAGAAAAGCAGTTAGTTACCTACAAGGGAGCTCCCATCAGATTGTCAGCTGATTTCTCAACAGAAACTTTGCAGGCCAGAAGATAGTAGCAAGAAATATTCAAAGTGATAAAAAGCAAGGACCTATAACCAAGATTACTCTACCCAGCAAAGCTATCATTTAGAATAAAAGGACATATAAAGAGCTCCCCAAACAAAAAAAAGCTGAAGGAGTGATGACACCACCACACCAGTAATACACTAATTGTTAAAGGATCTTTAAGAAGAAAAAGAAAGGTCTAAAACATGGATAATAAAATGACAATAAATACATATCTATCACCAATTATTTTAAATGCAAATGTATAAATGCTCCAATCAAAAGACATGTAATGGCTGAATGGATAACAAAACAAGACCCTTACATATATTGTCTACATGAGATTCCCTTCAGATTGAAAGACACACACAGACTGAAAATAAAGGTATAGAAAAAGGTATTTTATGAAAATGAAAACAAAAAAAGGCTAAAATAGCAATATTTATACCAACAAAATAGACTTTAAAACAAAGGCTATATAACACAAGACAAAGAAGGAACCAGCAATTCCACTTCGGGGAATTTTTTTTTTTTATACTAAATCAAAAAGACATATGCACCTATATCATTGCAGCATTATTTATAATAGCCAAGATATGGAAGCAGCCTAAGATGAATGGATAAAGTGGAAATAGTGCATATATACAATGGAATATGACTCAGTCATAAAAAAGAATGAAATCTTGCCATCTGCAACAATATGGCTGTATCTATAGGATGTTGTGCTAAGTGAAATAAGTCAGACAGAGGAAGACAAATGCCATATGATTTCACTTAGACTTAGAATCTAAAGAGAAAAATAAATGAACAAGCAGAACAGAAAGACTCACAGACAGAATATTTTGATGGTTGTCTGATGGGAGAGGGCTGGGGAAATGAATGGAAAAGGTGAAGGGATTAAGAAGTACAAATTGGCAGTTACAGAATAGTCATGGGGATGTAAAGTACAATATAGGGAATACAGTCAATATTGTAATAACTATGTATGGTGTTAGACGGGTACTAGATTAATTGTGGTAATCACTTAGTAAGTTATATAATGTCTAATTACTGGGGTATACACTTGAAACTAATATAATGTATGTCTACTGTAACTGAAAAATAAAAACATTATTTAAAGTAAAAAAAAATAATCATTCCTCAATGATAAAAAGTCTCAAATGTGAAATGTTATTTATTTCAGTGCATTTAGCATTTAGGATAACACAGAGTATACATAATTCAACACAAATTTTTTGACTGAATCAATGAATGATTAGCAAAAGCAACATAAAATCCAAAATAAATAAATCCAACAACCCATTTAGCCTAATATCTCTGGCTATCCCACCCCAGTGAAATAGGCTCTACACAATTCCCTTCAGAATAACTGCTAAAATTGACCCTAAATAGCTCCATACACTACCTGAGAAGAGTAACAAGAGTTAAGTGGACTAGGTAACAAAGTAGCTGCTTATTACCCCCTAGACCAGTGATGGCGAACCTATGACACGCGTGTCAGAGGTGACACGCGAACTCATTTTTTTGGTTGATTTTTCTTTGTTAAATGGCATTTAAATATATAAAATAAATATCAAAAATATAAGTCTTTGTTTTACTATGGTTGCAAATATCAAAAAATTTCTATATGTGACACGGCACCAGAGTTAAGTTAGGGTTTTTCAAAATGCTGACACGCCGAGCTCAAAAGGTTCGCCATCACTGCCCTAGACTCAGGTCTTTGAAAGAATAGAATATACTAAACAAGTGAAATTTTAATAGCAAGAAAGTTAAGAGTATTAGGTAAAGCTCAGGGAGGACTGACCCAAACAGATTATTTAGAAAGGCATTCTGGGCAAAAAGTGGCAATATTGAAGCCTAAAAGTAGAAAGGTAAAATCTACCCAACAACTTTCTCAAGACATACCAATATTTACAATGGAGCAGGAACAACCTTTTTTCTTTCAAGAAAAAAGAGAAATTAAGATTTAAAAAATTCTTTTATCAGTCAGGGGCAAAGCAGATGTACAGTCCTTAGTTCATCCTAGCTTGATGCCTGTGTCGGTGGCCAGAGCTGTTTCATGCCTGAGGCACATTAAAAAAAAAAAAAGATTTAAAAAATTGCTCCTGGCATAGAAAAAAATGTGCCACAAAATTCAATTATAGTAATAAATAAAAATCTCTTGACATACTATATTCTAGAATAACATGATGAAATAAGAAAAAAGTTTTACCTTCCCCCTACGTCCATTTCCTCCATCCTGATCTTCCCATTGCCAGTCTACTCCTCGTACCACTCTGGCACCTGCAAAGATCCCTCTGGCTGTAATCTTCTTAGATTTTCTGCGAGATTCTAATAGAACCCTGAAAATAAAATGATTTCAAACTTGTTTAAAAATAGGTAACATTATTTTTTAACAACAGTATATAAAGGCTATTTTGAAAATATAAAATATTTTTTTAAATAGTAATGAAATCCACATATGAACCCAGTCTAACCACTTCAAAGTATCACTATACTCTTCACTGTTTTAGAGATAGCAAACTCAAATCAAATACAACTGTTAAGCAAATAATATAAACGAGTTCCTAAGAAAAACAGCGCCACAGAAATGAAAAATGGCAAGTGGCACTTGACCTCAGGCTTATTTACGAAGACAACAGGGAGTGGTAGGGACTTTGGTGAACTCAAGCACAGATTTGTCTACAGGGTACAGGTGCTCCTGTGCTTCAGCAAACTCTTGCCATGAACAAACGTAGGCTCAGTGCTAAGTTTTCTGGGGGGGTGTGCACATAAGTGTGAGAGTGTGTGTGAATGTGTGCATGTTTTAAGAATTCATAAACTTAGATTTTTGTGTGAAATCACCCAATTTCAAAAGGTTAACAATTGTTCAAAATTTTGGAACATGGTATATGTCAAGTAAAATACATCTGTGGCCTAGATTTGACGTGCATTAAACTCCCTCCAAAGTTCTGCATACCTACAGAAGACTGTGGACCTTGAAAAAGATTCTAAACTCAATTATCTGGACCAGCTGGGTTTTCCGAGCATCTACCCATATTCTGCATCCTTCTCATTCATAAAACCAAAAAGATTTGGGGTTTTTTTCCTTTTGCTTTTCTGCTTTCATCTCATTATTCTATTCATTTTTAGAATATCTTTATTATACTCTAATTTTTAAAAATTGTAAACAAAAGACAAAAATAACTTGTTCCAAATTACTTAGTTAATAAATGGCAGGACCATGATTTGAACTGAGAAACCAGGTCACCAAAATCCATTTTTCTATTATTTCTGCTGCTTCCCTATGACTGGCTAGATTCGTGCTCCTATGCATTATCCATATCTACATAAGACTAAATTACCTGAAACTCTATGCCCATTCACAATTAACACTCCTCTCTCTTACTCCTAAGACAGTACATATCCCTACATAGAGTATAAAACATCACATGATAATCACTGTTGATCAAATAATCCCTTAACATGAAAACTCTTTAAGAATACTGTACTTTACCTTCAAATTTACACAAGCATAGTAGCTGCCTCAAAGTCTTAATAAATGCCTCTTGATTGAATCAATGAGCCCTAGAGGTAGCACTTAACAGAATAGAAGGTATAGCAAGAAGAAAATAATCAGCCCTAGACGGGTAGCTCAGTTGGTTAGCGCAGCGTCCAAGGTTGGGGGGTTCAATCCCCTGTTAGGGCACATATAAGAATCAACCAATGAATGCATAAATAATAGGAACAACAAATCAATGTTCTCTAAAAATCAATCAACAAAATAATAATAATAAAAACACTTCAGCTTGTTAATAAAAAAATAAAGAAAATATTCAGTCTCTCTTGGGCTACCCTTGCATTTCCAAATACTGAGTAGTGCCAGGTCTCTAATTGAGAGAAAGAATAGCCTAGATTATCTTGCAAAAACACTTAGAGCTTCGTCTTCACAGAGGCAAGCCTGGTCCACTTCTAGCCTGCTATCTGCTACCTCCTGACTAAACTAGCTCTTAGAAGCTTTCCTAATCCTATTTTTAAGGCTGAGTAGTATAAAATTTTAATACAAACAAGAAATTGCAACTGAAGAAAAAACTATTTCCCATACCGCTCACTTCCAGGTGTAGTAATTCTATAGAAGCGATGCCTTAAGTGATGCTTATCTCCATGATAACAAACTGTGCACAAATCATAATTTGTACACTCTGCACACTTCCATCGAATGCCAATGATTGGTTGCTGGCGGCAGGTATCACACATGGTCCCATCATGCTTAATGCCTATTAAAACAAGGATACATCCTTACATTAATTACAGGTATTATTTACTTGAGTATTACTTCTTAAGAGGAAAAATAAGAACACATCATTTTACCAAGTATTTCAATAAAGTAGGAAACAATATTTCAAATGTACCATATATAGTTTCAAGATAACATATTACAAATATTTTAATCAGCACAAATTACAGCTAAATAGCTTCTATCCCTTCTTTTTTCCATTAGTAAAAACATTTGTCAGTAGCACTTCCCTTGATATCATTCACAAACTGAAACTTAGATTCAGTCCAGAGAAAGAAAGAAGAATCTTTTATCCCCAAGGAGATGTTTCAGACTTCAACACTCAGAAATCTTTTGAGAAATTTAAACATATCCTCTAGATAAATAATTACTCCAAAAGGCAATTTTATCCTCAAGATATCATAGAAACAAACTATCAACTTACTTAAGAATTTTTATCCAGGTATTGACTTTCTCCCCCGCAAACAATAAACTTCAGAAAATGATTAGCAAGCAAGTTTCCCAGTTTAAAGGATAACAATATACTCTAGTTGCATTTGTTGTGTTTTTTTCCTTAAGGAATAAGGAATAATAGAAAATGTTCACTAAAAATGTTCACAGGCATGGATGAGATAGACAATAGAATAAAAGGTACCACTAAAAAGTAATGAAAATAACTGACATTTTAGAGTAATAGAATTGGGGATAATGTTCTATTATTCTTACTAGAGGCCCAGTGCACTGGTGAGGTCCCTTGGCCTGGCCTGCGCCTTCTCGCAATCCGGGCCCCCTCGGGGGATGTCGGTTGGACTGCCAGTTTCGGCCCGATCCCCACAGGCCAGGCCGAGGGACCCCACCGGTGCACGAATCCCTGCACCAGGCCTCTAATATATATAAGATCTTTGGTTAATCTCTTCCCGCCCTTCCCCTTTCTCCCTTCCCTCTGAGATTCATCAGTCTGTTCCATGTTTCCATGCCTGTGCATTAAGCGTCTGCCCCTGGTGGTCAGTGCATGCCATAGCTACCAGTTGAACAGTCACTTAGGCGACTTTTTTTTTTTTAAGTTGAAGTTTTAGCCGAAACCGGTTTGGCTCAGTGGATAGAGCGTCGGCCTGCGGACTGGGGGGTCCCAGGTTCAATTCCGGTCAAGGGCATGTGCCTGGGTTTCGGGCACATCCCCAGTGGGAGGTGTGCAGGAGGCAGCTGATCGATGTTTCTCTCTCGTCGATGTTTCTGGCTCTCTATCCCTCTCCCTTCCTCTCTGTAAAAAAATCAATAAAATATATTTAAAAATAAAAATAAAAATAAAGTTGAAGTTTTAAAATTCTTTATTACATTAACTTTAGTAATCTTAGTAAATGAATCTAAGCTAGTTAGTAATCTGGTTTGGTCACTGAAAAAAATGAAACATTTTTGAAACCTCACCTAACTGTGTAGTATGCAGACTAGAACTAGTTATGCTTTCATCTCTTTAAGAAAGCAGTATGATTATAAGAACCTTCACTGCTGCTCTATGGCCTCTAAACTACGGAGGAGAGATGAAGTCAAGCTTCTGAGGAAATCCCAAGGCAACTAACTGCAGTCAAACAATGTCTGGAAAGCTGCAGGTAGAATTGCATTACATGAAAGCTCAAATTTGCTTCAAAACCTGGGCTACTTAAGTCTAAAATTAAATTCCCATTTTCTTACAAGGAAATTAGAAATATTTAAGAAACTATTAACTCTATTTTGATTCCCAACATTTATTTATAACCTTCTCAGAAAATTTTGTATTAGGCGTAGCTGTTTTGTTTGCTATTCTGTTACTTATGAAGTTATAACCTACTTCAATTATTCAAAAATGAGAGTAGCATTTGTGTATACAGTCACAGTTTAACCAAAAGGTAGTTAACTTGAATTTCTAATTGGGAATGAAGAAGGGTGTTAAATGTTTTTAAAAATGTGCAATAATATAAACAATGGTTTGATAACATCTAGCATTAATGCAATATAAAGATTAACTGTATTAAGACCAAACTCAACAGACTTTTAAAGAACACAGCTATCTTAATTCATTAAAGTGTGTTTCACTGCTGCTATGATATGTCTGGCACTGATTCCAAACATATCCAGCAATTCGCAAGGTTTCCCACTTCGAGGGACTCCTGACACTGCCAGCTGATGAACAAGGATGTCAGGCTCCCCAGACACAGCGGCACATACTGCTTCTCCAATGCCACCTTCCCGGTAGTGATCTTCCACTGTGATAACCCGACCGCCTGTAGCTTTTGCATTGGAGATGATGGTGGCAGCATCCAGGGGTTTAATGGTAAATGGGTCAATGACACGGATGGAAATATCTATAATAATAAAAGCATAATATGCTAATTAGACCAGACGTCTTTCCGGATGTCCTTCCGGATGACCTTCTGGATGAAGCCGCAGCGGTGGGGGCCAAGGCAGAGGCGGCGGGCAGGGGCCAAAGCAGAGGCAGCTGCCGCCACGGTGGGGCCAAGCCCCTTGCACGAATTTTGTGCATCAGGCCTCTAGTATATAGATAAGCAAGAGCTGTGCTGTCTGTATAACAGTGACACACACCTGGATTCCAATTCTGGTTCTCTATCAGCTATTTGGGGCCCTTGAAAAAGTTATTTCAACTGAAATATTTATATATAAAAAAATATTATTTCTTTCAAAATAATTGGTAGGGGGCAGAGGGGATTGCTCAAGTTGAAGTTGGGCAACAGGTAACATGGAGGTTCATTATATTTTTATATTTTTGTAAGTTTAGAAATTTTCCATAATTAAATAAAAGAAAGAAGTTATTTTAGTTCCCTTTGGAGGAAGCAATATGTTCTTTAAAGGTAAAAGATATTCTAGGAATCTAATAAGAATGTGCTATATATGCAAGAACTAGAGTACAAAAGCACTAAACTCTACAAAAACATTGTACTATTGCTATTTCCTGATAAGAAAACAAAACTCTATATAATTAATTTTCTATATATAGATTTAAAGTCCCTATGATTAAGGTAACCAGATTCTAAATAAAGAGTCAAACATAAGGATAAATCTGTGTCTGAGTGGAGGTGGTTAAGAATAAAATGAGGGTCAGGGAGGAATGAACACTAGAAGGAAATCGGGATACCTAGTGAAGTTCAAAAAGCATGACATAAACCAAATGTTTAGTGTGCAATCCTTCTGCAGTCTCCTTCTATACAAACACTTGATTGTAGGAACAGAGAAGATGGAGGACATTAGTACCTACTGATTCACTCAGTAATTATTTCCTTACTGCCACTGTAGCCAAGCCCTCTATTGCTTTCAAATATCACTCTTGCTGTAGTATGAAGAACAGAAAGGAAGAAACTAAAACTGGCTAGAGAAAGGCAGTCAAGTCATAAGAAGTTTATACAGTAGTTTAGGCAAGATAATGATAGTTTAAGTCAGGGTGATAATACAGCAAGTGGAAAGAAAAAGTCAAGAGAGATTTAGGACTTGGTGTTATGGTTACAAAACAAGAGATGTACAAGGTAACAAACAAAAAAGTACAAATGAAATCATTCAAGAGAAAACAGAAATGTCATAGATATTTAAAAACAGTTCCCTTTAAAACAGAAAGGGGAAAAACGAAATAAGCACATGCTAATTTTAAAAATGCAAGCTCCACTGATAGAAATTCATCTAAAAAACTAAATAAAATAAAAAAATAATCAGAAGAGTGTCATAGAAATGGTGGATGAGTAGACTTTTCAAAGGAAAAAAGAAGAAATCTCAGAAAAACACAAAATATGTTCAATGAACCAGGAGAAGCTTTATTTGTTTGACAGGAATATGAAATACAGTCAGAGACTTAAAGATAAATTTTAGTCATGCTGGGAAATAACATAAAATTATTTCTAACCTGTATATTTAAACTGTTGCATTAAGTGGTAAAACAAGGGTATGTGACTTAAGACTAGTTCTATAATGTACTAGCTAGGTAATGTTCAATATTAGTTTAAACTACTCTGGGATCAATATTCTCATCTATAAATTAAGAAAATACTTCCTTTCATATGCAATGGACTGAATGTGTTCCCCAAAAATTCATATGTTGAAGCCCTACCCCCCAATGGATGTTTGGAGGTGAGGCCTTTGGAAGGTAAATGAGGTAATGAGGGTAAGCCCCTACGATGGGATTAGTGCCCTCATAAGAAGAGAAAGAGAGAACAGGGGTCTCTCTCTATCTGCCACAGGACGCCACACTAAGAAGGCAGCTATCTGCAAGCGAGGAAGAGAGTTGTCACCAGGGAATCAACACCTTGATCTTGCCAACACCTTGATCTTGAACTTCCAACTATGAAAAATAAATTCCTGTTGTTTAAACCACCCAGTCAATGATAGTTTGTTATGGCAGCTCAAGCAGACTATGACAACATAGAAAGGGACATTGTGAAGCTAAAGTGATATAATTCAGGTAAATACATTTTGAAAGGCTTTAAAGCAAAATATAAAGAATTATACTGAACTTAATTTATAAAGAATTATACAGCCGAAACCGGTTTGGCTCAGTGGATAGAGCGTCGGCCTGCGGACTGAAGGGTCCCAGGTTCGATTCCGGTCAGGGGCATGTACCTGGGTTGTGGACACATCCCCAGTGGGAGATGTGCAGGAGGCAGCTGATCAATGTTTCTCTCTCATCGATGTTTCTAACTCTCTATCCCTCTCCCTTCCTCTCTGTAAGAAATCAATAAAATATATTTTAAAAAAAAAAAGAATTATACAGTACAGTGGGGCCTTGACTTACGAGTTTAATTCGTTCTGAGACCGAGCTCGTTAAGGAGCTCTATAACTCAAATTACTCTATCAACTCAATGCAAAAAATCGGCCGAGAGACAGCTGGTATCTCAAAAAACTCGTTAGTCGGGACACTCGTAAGTCAAGGCCCCACTGTACTTAATTTCATCTTAATATAGATTTATTAAATGTACTATCATCCATTTAAATAATTTAGTGATCAAAATCATCATATATCCTAGGAAAATTCAACAATACTTACACAGAAATCAATAACTTAATTTCTCAATTTCCCAGAGACTGCATATAGAGAATATTCAATTATTCATGTGTGGATTATCCTCATTTTAGCAAATTAGCTACCTTCTCCATAGCCATTCTCTTACTATATCATCCGATCAGGTTTTTCCCCAAGGCTTATGGCTTCCCTGGAGCTATACCTATCTTCTCCATTCCTTTCACTGTTTTCACTCCAGAATAGCAACAATGGACATAACTGCCATGCAAGATAGTCCTACATACCAGCAGATCATCCACCACTTCTCATCAGTGATAATGATGGATTCTATCCTATGGCTAGAATGAAAATTCTGTCATGAAAATCATCAGCAATAGGCCCAAAAGAAATTATATTCTAGTCTAAACAGAATGCACATTAAAATTAAAAATCCCAGATTTATAGCTACACAACTCAAAGCTACCAGCATTCACTAGTATTAACTGCTTCAGTCTTTTAGAATATAAATCAAAAGGCTGAAAGCAACTTTCATCTATTCTTCCTTATTGGGTATATAAATTGAATACAATGAAAATTATTTATTTTCGTTTTTTTAATCACATAAAGATTTTAAAAAGTACCAAACAATCCATAACCTGCCTAATCATCCCTGGGTTACTAAGAATTTGCTATATTTTGCATTAAATCAGTATGTAATCAATTCCTTATATTAATTTTGAAAAAATCTGTAATTACTCCTGTAATTATTATCTCCCAACACAAATAGCAAAAGTTTATAAAATTAAAAAATTATTCTAGCTCACACAAAGGTATTTTTAAGTTAAATTCTAAAATCCAAAGAGGGCCACACCAATCTACATCCATTCCAAGTTCTCTTCTGACATGACAATAACACATGACCATCAAGAAACAGGTCTATTTCCCCCCACAGACACTGGACCTGGGTAGACATTTGCAACTGCCTTGGTCAATAAAAGGTGGTGGGAGTGACACTATATGACTTCGGAGGCTGAGTCATAAAAGACAACGAAAGTGCTATTTGTCTGTCCAGTCTGTCTTTCTCCTTACCTCATGCCTTGGGAACTCTGTCATACTAAGTCTGGCTATTATGAAGCTGCCATAGAGGAGACCACAGGGAGTGGCCACAAAGAGGTATAGGGATGCCCTATACCTAAGAAGCCTGACTCTGCCAGCCCCTCCAATATTTGACACTTCCAGCTGAGGTCCCAGACATTGTGGAGCAGAAATAAGATATTCCCCTTAAAGCCACATCCAAATCCCTGGCCCATGGAAGCCATGAGCATATAAACTGTTTCATACAACTAAGTTTTGAAGTAATTTGCTATGTAACCATTATAACTGAAACAAAGTTAAAAATAAGTTATAATCTTTGTTAAATTATAGTTCCTTAAATACAACATACCAAAAATAAAGATAAATTAAAGAATTAAATATGAGCTCTGGCCAGTGTGTATCAGTTGGTTGAACATCAATCGTCCTGTGCACTGAAAGGTCATGGGTTCGATTCCCAACCAGGGCTCATACCAGGTTGCGGGTTCAATCTCTGGTGGGAGGCAACCAATGTTTCTCTTTCACACTGATGTTTCTTTCTCTCTCTCTCTCTCTCTCTCTCTCTCGTCCTCTCCCTTCCTCTCTCTCTAAAATCAATAAAAAACATTTTTTAAAAAGTATTAAATATGAAAAAAGAAAACCATAAAGTACTAGGAAAAAATTGAACAGCATATTTTACAATTTTGAGTAAAGTTTTTCTAAGCATGGCACAAAACCTAGAAGTCACATGCATGCCCATGTGAACACACATATACATAAGTGTATAAATAGAGAAAAATCTGTAAACCTACTACAAAATTGCTGACAGTGATTAAGGGTGCACAGATGGGGAAGGAGAGGGCACTTACATATTTTGTTTTATATACTTTTGAATTGTTTAGTTTTATTATAAGCATACTAGAGGCCCAGTGCACAAAATCCATGCATGGGTAGAGGCCTTAGGCCTGGCTGGCGATCAGGCCCGATCTGTGGGGCAACCAGCAGGGTGATTGGGGGGCCCCCGCTGGCACTTGCCTTGGCTGGCCTGGCACCTGCGGGCTGGGGGCAGCTCCTGCACTGAGCATCTGCCCCCTGGTGGTCAGGGCGCATCATAGTGACCGGTCATTCCACCAGTCGTTCCGCAGATCAGTTGATTTGCATATTAGGCTTTTATTATATAGAATTATTAATTTCATAATTTTGAAAAGAAAACACAGCCCTGGCCAGTGTGGTTCAGTGGGTTGGATG